GCTTCCTCTCTCCCTTCCATGCTTCCTTTTCCTTCCCTCTCTTTTCTCACTCTTATCCTTTCTCTCAGTTCACGTCCATCACTCTTCCCCTCATTATGTAGTCCAATCTTTTGGAACATTTTCAATCTTTCTTTTTGTTTCACAGGACTGATTTTTAATGCAATGTAAAATAAATTAAATACTAATCGAGTGAAGTTTGAAGGGAATTCCTCTGGTGTTTTTGTTAACTATGAAATTAATTCTAGTGCACAGGGTGCCCATGAAAATGACTTTTCCCTGACTGAAGTACACCTAACTCAAGGAGGTAACATATCCCATTTTATGTAGATGTTTTCTAAACTCATTTTTCATAACTAAGGTCGTAATGGGATAAAGAACTTTAAATTTTGCTTTAGTTATTAATTCAATACTGCACACAATACCGACTGAAAGAATAGCAGCATTACACGTGCGTATTATCCTTGTAAATCCGCCATATGGCACGCAATTTACACGGAAATTACGCGCGAGTAAAAGAAATACACGAAAGCGTGTGTAGAAAATTACTCGCAAATTTTTCATAGAACTGACCATGCAGTGCATTCAATCTCAAATTTAGCACTCTCGATAATTAACCTGCCAGCTCACACCACTTTTATTCTTATTGAATTATCAGTCCATGAACGAAGAATGGAACACAATGACTGTCCATGGAAATCCTTGATGGGTAGTAGAAAAGTAAGATTTTTTATTAATCAGTAGGACTTTGGAATGCATGTAATTTTCAGCTTTTGTTTCAAATCAATAATAAGCCCTTGAACTTTGTAAAGGCTATACTTTTTCTTCTAAGTTCTCAATGTAAATGACATTTTCCTCACGGACTATATTACCTTTATATTTCCTCAACTGAGTGAACGTTCTTCAGGAAATCGCTTTCCCCTCCTCACTCACGAAAGTTGACCCCTTTCTTTGTTTCGGACTCTCCCAAAATTCTCCCATCTTTTTTGTTTGTTTGTTTGTTTGTTTAATTATCTGAGTGAGGCACTTCTCTGTCTCTTCACCTTCCAACTGACTTCCTCTAAAGTTACAATCATGGCGGCTATTCTCAAATTTCTGGCCATCTGGATTTTGATTTTTATCAGATTGAATTCTTTTTAGAATGTATAGAACCAGGAAAGTTCTGCCGGATTACATAGCCATAATTTTGCTCTTTATATAGTTTCGTGCTTCCAGCTATTCTGTCTTTAATTATAACTTTCTTTGATAAGTGCAAAGTGATTTCTAATGATATATAACAAATATTGCTTTTATCTGAACATCGTAGGTTCTCTAAAAAATTGACTTAACGTCTTTTCTTTGCAGAAGTCTGTAAGGAAAATGAAACTCACAAGATTCTACTTGAGGCAAAACTTAGAACCCTTGGGAAGTGTATGCATTTGTGTTGGCAGTCTCCCAGTAGGCCTGGAACCAAGTAAATACAAAACTTTGATTGGCGACATTCTAGGAGAAAGTGAGTTCTGTTTTGTTTGTTTGTGAGATGACTTGCGCATTGGAATCTTCTGAGGACGGTTTCTGGTTTTGGTTGTTCTCATCCTCTTTCTTCATTTCAATTAACAGTTTGTATGTAATTGTTTTGCAGCTATGGAATATTGTGAGATGAAAAAAGTGTTTCCAAGTTATGGTGAGCTACTAGATTCTAAAGTTCAGTGCATGAATCTATTTACACAAGTATTATTACAGTTTATAACCCACCCATTAATTTTGACGCGATTTTATTGGTTACTATACGTCACGTGATGCAAAATCACAGTACAGTTATCACGCAATAGTCCCCGTCCGCGTCGATATTTGTCCTCCGATTTTTTCCGTGCAAAAAAAAACATAGTCAGCACAAGAGTTTCAACTTTTCCGTTCTCCTATTTACATGGAAGGAAACCAAACTGTTTTTTTTTTTGCTTGCTCGCGTCAATCACGCGCATTCGCCATCAGATCACCACTGGCTCTTTCTGTTTGTTTACGCGCAGTTTAATTGTGATGTGGAAATTAATGGGATGGTTATAAAATTGATAAACTCTGTTCTGGCTTGCTGGTATGTCGGCTGATAATGTCCTTGRCTGAGAGATTGTCCTCAAAATTTCATATTTGCCCTCAAGACTTCGCTTTTCGGCCAAATACTCATTTTTCGGACAATGTCTCAGCCGAGGACATTATCAGCCGACATACTAGCCGCCGAAGGGGTTTATTTACTAAATATCGCTGGCAGTGCCGGTGGGCAAGATAAGGCGAATCCTGTGTTCTGATTAGCTTTGATCTCATTTAAGGTTTTGTCCCATTGTGAATTTATAAGAAAGCGGGGTTAGCTCTGTTTCATGAAGCATTTGGACCGAGTGCTGGGTCCTTTTTTTATCATATTTAATGCCTCACGTACTTTTCTTCGTTTTGACAGACTGCAATGCTTACTTTGAAATTCCATTACTGCTCCCTGGTGACATACGAGACTGCCTAAGAATTACGTGGCATGTAAACTGGCTGCATTTAATTATACATTGACATTTCTCCACCCGGGTTGCAGGAGTGTTATTTATATAGATGTTAACTTTGGAGAAATCAATCTGTTTACGCCATGAATGAAAGATAATGCATTTGATAGATATCAATGACTTTGATAACTCAAAGATAATTCATTGAGTTTTAATTTGTGGAATTCGATAGACAATCCTGCGAGAGTAGAACCGCCGCTTTTGTCAATCAGAAAACAGGAATGGCATAAAACACTCGCCCGCGAAACTGTTCATATGACAAAAACGACCGAGGAAGTTAATTTTCTTATTTTTTTTTGTAGTTTTTTACCGTTAATACGTCAACCAATGTTGACATTGTAACTCTTTCCAGGTATGGTGTTTGTGTTTTTTCCTGCCGCTGACACAGCAGCAGATGATGTAAATAAATTAAAAACTCCACTATGGACAGCAAAGAGCTGTTTGTGAGAGTCCTACCCACTATTCATGTAAGTAGCTGCAAATTCAAGAGCAAAGGTTTTTCTTTAGAGTATTTCTGGACGTACTTAAAAAAAGAAAAAAAGCTAAAAAAGAAAGGATTGACCTGAATCAAAAAAGGAGTTATATTTTTTTTTGTTTCTTCCTTCTTGTAGCTTGGGCTGTTCCCCCCTGGAAGCCAACCCCTTATAGTACTGGTTAACTCCAGAAATGGAGGTGGTCAGGGGGCGGACATGTCAGCAGCTTTCCAGAGACTGCTCAACCCTCATCATGTGTACAGCCTCACAGAGGGAGGCCCATTATTAGGGTATGTTAAACTCCTGCCCTTCGTATCTAGAAAACTGTATTTTGCAATTGAAGTTGAAGTTTATTCATTAATAAGTACGTAGCATTTCGAAAAAATGATTTGTGTATTTACATAACAAAAATTAAGTGATACGAGTCGTGTTTTCTTCTCTCATCTTTGTCCCGTGGTCTAGAATTGATTTTTGTGTTTGTTTCAGATTTTACGCTTTCAGATCTATTCCTGATTTTCGTGTCTGGATCTGTGGTGGCGATGATACAGTTGGCTGGGTGTTGTCGTGTTTGGATGATGTTGTTCAAGAGTTGAAGTGTAAGTTACCTGCATCAGCAGTACTTCCTCTTGGCACTGGTAAGTGGATTGTTACAAGTGACTCCTGTAAACTGCGAGTTAGAGAAAATTTCTTTCCAGAGTCGAACATAAACCCTTGTGTAGGTTTTGTTGTACTGGGCTGTGTGATCGATCCCAAGACTCATGTGACAGACTTGGTCAATCGAAGACTAACCTCGACTTTTCCTCACGTGCTTCTAGGTGATGGACACTCCAAAAAGTCGTGCAAACTTTCCAGTTTAATTTTTTAGGCCTCAACAGCCTTTGTATTTAAAAGAAGATCAATGAACGATCATCGATAATTATTCGAAGCTTTATGCTCCATGTGACAATTAAATGAGCGTTTCTAGCACGTGGTTGACAACTAGAGGTTTACAGTGATAGACAAACCGCTATTGCGCATTTTTAAAAGCTGTCGTTTCGATCGTCAGCCCTTCCTCGGAGCATAGTACATGGAGAATAGGTTGGAAATTGCCTGAGACTCTCGACTTCGGGACAGGCCATTACTCATCGCCCATAAGGGATTTTAATATTCTTAAGATTCCTCAGTCAATTTCTAATGTCCCCCCTTTATACTCTGTTGGGAAGGACTGACGCCCACTCCCCTCTCGTGATTGATAATTTCTTTGTGGGGATTTCGTTAGTGGATACAGATTGAGATGGAAGTTGGATGAGATTCTCAGCTTGCATGTACTGATCTCTCTAGTGTTCTTCTTAGTGGATAGATAATGTTTGGGAAACTAAATTAGATTGTAAACGTACAGGTAATGATCTCTCTCGTATCCTCCATTGGGGAAGTGGTTACTCTGGCGGCGAGAGTCCTGTATCGCTACTCATGGCCATTGACCAGGCTCACGAAGTGTTTCTTGATAGATGGTGTGTCATGTTTGACTCCGTGGACACTAACGTTCCTGACACACTGTCAAACGACAGCGCACTTGGTTCGATGGGAGGAAGAGAGGACGATCCTAGTATTTTTACGATGAATAACTACTTTGGCATCGGAATTGGAGCTGAGCTTTGTTTAGATTTTCATCTTCAGAGAGAGGAAGCACCTGATAAATTCCATAGCAGGTGAGGATGCAAAAAAAGTAAATCTACTTGTTACAGTAGTTTTACATCCGCTCGATTTAAGGAACAGTGTTGATTGCTAAGGCTATTGGATGGCACTTGCAATTGATAACAAATGTTTCATAGTCTTCTGAGTTGTTCTCTTTGTCGTCTGTATTTCGAATTCGTCTGTGGGAATGTGCGTGCCCGACTCTATTTATCACTTTAGATGTCTTACAGACTACCTCCCCCTTCCCACCCTCCAAAGGTTATTAACGGACACGGAGCAGTCAAACGTCCAATAGATTTTAACTTCCATCGTAAGCGCTTTTGAAAGTGGATAGGTTAGAAAACTTCGACCTTGCGTTTTATGATTTATTGTAAGTAAGAGTTCGTCGATTCTGTGATTTTTCTTTTTTCAGGCTTCATAACAAAGGAGTTTACTTTAGAGCAGGGATAAAGAAAATGGTCAAAGGCTACTCGCGGACATTTACTCACGAAGTCGAAATAGAGGTGATTAATCTGTAGAACG